GGATCGGGAACGTTGGAAGCACTGTCTGACGTGTCTGCCTCCGCGACCCGAAAGGAGAAGCGGCAATGGAGGATGAGGATGAAGTTGTTGAGAATAAGAGGTAGAATAAGGAGACATAAGAACACAGAAGACGAATAAATCGATAAGAAGATAACGAAAGATTAGCGATGTCATTGCGCGAGAGAAGACATTGAAATGCTATTGTGTTGGACATGTCATAGGAGGAAGTATCATGTTGGGCAGGCCTTCATTTGGCAGTGAATGAAAAAGCTGCAATGAGAATGGTGGTGAGGCGGAGGAGCAGGATCAGGACGAGGAGAGGATGAGACGGAGGAGGTCGATGACGGCGATGATCATGACGATGACAACTGTATCAGCAAAGGTAGCAATGGTTGCACATGTCTCCACATTAACCGCGATGAAGCTGCACTGTTCCCAGACACAGCGGGGAATGCTTTGTTTGTTACCTGCTGGTTCTAACCGGAAGATGGAAAATATGAACGCTGAGTACAGGAGGATGCGAGTCAAGCATGAATGGAAAGAAAACGAAAATGGTAATGGATTAACTGCTTGGAATTAACATTCAGCGACATGAATTCCGTTTGATGAAAAGCGACATAATTCTTTGAAGTTCAAGAGGCTAAATATATTCGCTTTGCACACGAGCTGGATGCCTGAAACAAAATGGCCTGTTGTCCTGAGAAGTACGAAAATCAAGCGAAGGACGAAGCTTTAGACGAAACGGAAACTGCTTTAGTTTCTGAGACACTCTGCATTACATTAATATCGACAAACGTAGACCTGAGCCCTTTCTGCAATCTCAATTTTTCCCTGAAAGTCAGAAACCCGTTCATCAAATTTCATCCCTTCTGTGATTACGGCAGAAGAGTCAAACTGAACTGACTACCGGTGGAATGCGGTAAATGATCCATCTTGAAACTCAAGTGTATGAGAGTGGACAAATTAACATACGGAAACAAAATCTAGTTCAGAGCAGAAACGCCTTGCACATCCTTTGTCCGATCCTGTTTCATCGTGCAAAGCTTAGTGCTACCCTGATCTTGACG